ACTAATTCAACACTTCAAGATAAAAGACAAATAAGTATGTGTATACATGCGATATGAAAGAGCGAGAAAAAAATATGTTCTTTTAGGACATTCTTCGAAAGGAGAAAAAAAAGCGTAAGCAGAGAATCAATAAGTGCATAATCGTTCTGGAAAGAAAACATTGTACAGCTAGCTCTTTCTCTTTTCTCAGGTGCGACTGAAGAGAAGAAGGAATGAATTTGTATAAGACATACCGGAAATAACTGATAAGAAGTACAGAGTGATCTAACATTCATTTTATAGAAGGAAAGAATTTGAATATCTGTGCTATATTTTCACCAGATGGGCTGATTTTGAACCAGGAATAACAGAGCACCAAAGTACGACAAAAGTTTGACTGATCGAACTAAAGCTTTTATTTCAAACTATCTATGTTTTCTAATTGAGCCAAAATGTCTCCCGTCCTTGCAAATTTCAAACTTAGCTTCCGGCGAATTGAACCACCATTTCGAATGAACGAAAAATGTTGACAATATCGCGAAATAACAGAATGAACAGAGCGCGTTCCTCTAATAGAAAGAACATAGTCTTCATGCATCACAAATCCTTTCGCCAATGTCAACATTTCTACAGTGTTCTATGTGGATACTGTGGTGACAGTGCGTTGCTGTAACTACAAGACTTTCTCTCTTTCTCTTCCTTTGAGACATTGAAGTGAAATGTGTGGATGCAAAGTTCGCCTCACGCATCAAAGGAATAAACCATCGGCTTATTGTCTCCTATACAAGAGAGTGTGCACAAATATATTAGATATAATCTGCTTATGTTCCATACACAAAAAAATAGGAATTCATTTTATTATACTAAGCTAATCTTTGCATATCGTCATATGATGATTTACTCATTTTTTTGTCTTTCAGATGTTTGTTTCACAAGCTATTGTCTCTTATATTATTCTCATAACACATATGTCATGTGATGTATATTTTTTATCAAATAGCAAATCATTCAAAAACTTCTTTGTTCTCAATTTATGCATATATACCTTATTATAAAGAAATAAATTGACACAGAATAATTTATTCGAGACAAAGAACATTTAACATAAATAGAACATACGAAATATTTGGTGATTAAATGAATTGAATATTAGATATTTCAAGAAATCATAGGACGACATTCAGCAAGAATATTTCCATCATTTGAATGCAAAGAACACATTGTTGGAAATTGTTTTGCACAATTCATTGATATACAAGCATATTTTGAATCATAACATCGATTACCATTAATAAGTGCAAAACTTCCTTTTGTTTCTGTTGCATAACAATCTTTACCTTTGCAGCATTTACAAAGACATAATCCTCGACCATCGGATGGATAACGCTGACCATTGATCACTACTAATATTGTTAGTAATAATAAATAGAAGATTGATGAATGCATATACTTTTTCTTGATTGAATATAAATCTATGATTTAATGGATCACAAAGTGGCAATTGAATGTCGACCTTCAAATACTTTCTGTACTTATCATTATGAGAAAGTTAAAGTTACCGTCCAGTTGTATCGTTTTTTTTTGTATGATAGAGAATACAGATAAATTGGAAACATACTAACAAAATAAAACGAAAGTGGTAGAATGTAGCTTTCATTCTTCTATCGTACTAGATATTACACTGAATTACATGCAATTATATCATTTTCGATATTGTTGTTTCGAATCAGATCAAAATCTAATAAAAAAATTCAGATGTCAGATTGTACAAGAACGGTGTAGGTGTTGGTCAACTGAAGACAACAATCACACGCAGACGCATACCCTCATCCAAGCTCACATCCTATTATAGACGAGACATTCTACTATGTATTCATGCAAAGAGGGCCTTAATATGTTCAAAATAGTTACTCTGACATTATCTTAGAGTTTTTGTTTAAAGTTTTGCTTTTTCACTGATCAAACTATAAAAGTATTCATGTTGTCAGATAAAGTTCGTTAATATCAAGTCCTATAAATATCATGATTTTATTTAATGATATCAGATATCATTTGTATCATTGAATGATAGAGTTTTTCTTTGTATCGAATTCGTCAATGCATTGATAGTATTACATGATGTTTAAATGTAAAGATAAATTTTAGTATTACTCATGTTATAATTATTAGTTGTATTAAGTCACATAGTGTAGACTGAAAAAGAAATTATTTAATATTTTTATTCTTTCGAAACATTAAATATATTATTAATATCATTAAGCCTATCACGAAGAAAATATTCGTATTAAAACTAGGAAGAATATTTGGGTGGGTGTGGGTGGGTGTGGGAGTGTGGGTGTGGGTGTGGGTGGGTGTGGGTGTGGGTGTGGGTGGGTGTGGGTGTGGGTGTGGGCGTGGGTGGGTGTGGGTGTGAGTGGGTGTGGATGGGTCTGGGTGTGGATGTGGATGTGGATTACGGAAGGACTCACATCCACACTCACACCCACACCCGCACTTACACCCACACACCCACACCCACTCACACCCACACCCTCTAGTTGAATAAACACATCCACTGAAGTGAAAAGGGTGATCAGATTCAATAGTTTTTGAAATTCTTTTCAACATATTATCAGCTGTCTTAATATCAACTATGATGAACACTGTAGTAAAGAAAAACGACACTTTTTCTTTTAAACTTTATTTTTCGTCCAAGATAAATGTAAAATAAGATGTAGCACATTTTTTTATTTTAACATATAATAGTTTCATACAATGTGTCTTAAAAACTTTCTCGATTATAATTTCATTGACAAGAAAATCACAACATCCGAAAATGCATCAATCTGAATCTGAATCACTATCTGTTTCTTCACTTTCTCGAACTGTGTAACCGCGAGCGAAATTTGAGAACTCGATTGCTGGTTGTGGTTATTGCATACTCTCGTAGATAATCATATCTCGACGTTCATCACGAGCAGCTTGCGCCTCAATGGCAGCAATAGCTGGCCGACTTTGAGCATGTGCGATATATGTTTCTCCAATGGTTGTCGCAACACGACTAGCGAAATCGAGAACTGCCATTATAGTAGTCTGTCGTTGATTGTTAACGTCGTCACGCTGTATATTACGCAAATCATATGCAGCTATAGGAAGAATCTGATGCAGATTCTCTCGAATTTCTCGTTGAACCTATACGAGCCGATGACATTTGAAAAAATCGATATTGTTTAAAATTTATTCATCTTACTTCTTCGCGCAGATCTCGCATTTGTGCTTCGGTCTGAGCTTTGATTAAATTCAAGGCTTTGATTTCTTTTTCTTCGAATTCTTTTTCAGCCTGTTTAAACATTTCATTTGTATAATATGGTGTTTTGTTTTCTTTCAACATGTTTCGAACAATTTTGATTACTTGTCGAATTTTTTCATCACATTTAATTTGACTAGAACGATTGTTAATCGCTATATAACGATTTTGACATTGTGCCACCAAAAGTTTTAAAGGTTCATCAGCGTCCTGAAGGTATTGATCGATTGTTTTGTCATCATTCAAAATCTCTTCTTCTCGAGTAATAACAAGAATGCAATATTTGCTGGCATCCGGTCCGAATATGTCATTGATATGCTCGATTGTTTTCTGTTCTTCTTCCGTAAAACGATGAGCAGCCGAGAGTACGATAAGAAATGCATGTGGTCCTGGACTAACCATATTTTCGAGTGGTCGACAAATCTCCTTTTTAATGGCATTCAGAGAAGTGTTCGTGTCGAAAAAACCCGGTGTGTCACAAACGAGTAGAATAGTGCCCTCGAAGTCTCGATAACGTACTTTACATTCCTTTGTACAAGATGAACTACTTGAACTTCTTGGAAAAACTTCAGCACCACAAAGACTATTCCCGAGTGAGCTTTTCCCTAAATTATCGATTCTAATATTCGAAATCGAGTTTTATTTACTTACCATGACCTGATTTGCCGATTATGATAAATCGTAATTCTTTCTCTTCTCGCTCATTGATCAGTTTTTGTGCCAACTGTTGACTGGCATTATTTGTGTCACTCATAGTTCACAATAAAACGGATTATTTCCCAATATTTGATCGCTTCACGAGCTATTAGTTATATTATCAGAAAATAGAATGTAATACGTAATTCAATCATTCCCTTTTATAAGCCGATGCTTGGAATTTGCCAACGCATGATGACAAAAGTATTTTTCAGAACATTTTCGCCTGTTATTGCCAGTTTATTAAGTAAAAGTGGTCGTCTGACTCATTTTCAATGGTTTTATTTACTTTTTTTTTCATGCAATGGGACAGTTACATAATCACGCTCATTATGTACGCTATGATATTATTAGTAACATTTGTTTCTCTTTCCAGCTTGTTTCGTAATCTCACTATGGCAACATCATAAAGAATGATTCAATGCTTTTTTTTTATACGTTCTCTCACTATGGGATGGAATAACATCATGACGGCGTTTGCTACTATAAATAGGTATTGCTTAGCAAATTCCAACTAATAATATTTTTACGATCAGGTAAAACGATTCATAAATACTTCAAGCATAATGAGCGCTAATTTGTGCAAGAAAGGTAATCATTCTGATCATGAAGAGAATATTCAACATGAAATACGAATCATCCTTATTGGAAAAACTGGATTAGGTAATTCAAAACTAGATTTTCACTAAAAAAGTAAGAATACCTTTTTCAGGAAAGAGTTCACTCGGTAATTCAATTTGTGGAAGTAGAGAAAAAAATGTTCCATTCAAAGCAGCTGCTTCATCTTCATCGGTAACTCAGACTTCGGAATGTGCTTATCGGGATTACAATGGATGCAAGTTATGTGTTATTGATACAGCAGGATTCTGTGACACGAAACAATTGAATGAGATCGTAATTGCTCAGCTGAAAAAAGGTTTCCAACTGGCTAGTCCCGGTCCTCATGCTTTTCTTATTATTGTCAATGGCCGATGCACGGATGAACATATTGGAATTCTGGCATTGCTGCAAAAAATATTCGGTAAACAGGCTTTAAAACATTGTATTATTGTCATCACACGTGAGAATGCACTTCGCAATGATGATGACGATCAATTATCGGATGCCGAATTGATTGATCGATATTTTAATGAAGCACCACAATCATTGCTTGATTTGGTGACCAACATTCAGAAACGTTGTATTCTAATCGAAAATCGAGCTGAATATGAAATACGTGAACAAAAAATTACTCATCTTGTTGACATGATCAAAACCATCGAAAAGGAAAATGGCTACTATACCAACCAGATGTTCATTGAAGCCGAGATGCAATGGAAACAATGGGAAAAGGATGAAATTGAGCGACAGGAACTAGATCGAGAAAAAAGAAAAGAAAATTTGCGCAAACAGGTAATAAAAATGGAGATGATAAAATTTATGTCATAAACATTTTCATTACTTAGATTCGTCAAGAAAATCGATCGCGAGAAGAAGCTCTTCAACAAGAAGAGCAAATGTATGAAGAACTTCGCCATGAAGAGGAATGTTTAAAACGAGAAATACGTAACATTCGTCGGCAGAAAATTCAACAGGGAATATGTGACACGATAGTAACAATCCTTAATAATTTGTCGGATAGAATTCCGATACCTAAACAGATTTCTTATAACTCTCGTGACGGATGGAGATTTCAATTTTAACCTATCAGTAAAAATTAATTTCATTATTATTGTAGATTGATATCATTAGAATTTTCAATGTCAGACAATCTCACATCGGATATTCGAGTTATTTTATTGGGTAGAACAGGCGAAGGTCAGCATTATACTTTCAATTACATCTATACAGTAGGATGCAAAAAAAAATGCCACTAGAATTGATATAATTTCTCACTCTCAACACATCGAATATAGGAGTTTCTTAACTGATAGATCACGCACCTAGTACAGCTTACAACTATAGTCATCAATACAATATTTTCTTTCTCTTTGAATTAAAAAGTTCCAAAAACTGCACTTCCAAGCAAGTCGTAAAATAGGTTAGTTAATGAATAATGTAGTGGACTACTTAGTTAAGCCTAATAATAGCTTGAAAAAAAAAGACAGGAAAGAACCAAGAGACAGAATTCGAGAAAATATATATCCGCGACAATTTTTTTTTTGCATTCTACTGTGAGTATCTTGGGTACTTTCAGGAAAAAGTGCACTGGGTAATTTAATTCTTGGATATCAAAAATTCAAAACAGGTGCTGGTGCCGGATCAGTAACGCGTGAATGTGAATCGTCATCGATTGTTTTTAATAATCGAAATATTACTGTCATCGACACTCCTGGATGGTTCGACACCAAATTATCGAATGAAGATATTTCAAAAGCACTTACTGACTCTTATTACGAGGCTGCACCTGGTCCACATGCTTTTCTAATTGTCACTGCTGGACGGTATACCACAGAAGCTGAAGATACATTGATTTTCCTTGAACGATTATTCGGGAGTTCAGTTGTTGATTATTGTATTGTTGTGATAACTCATGAAGATGATTTAAGAGATGATGATAAAACTCTGGATGAATACTTGGGCGATTCCACTTCACAGCTTCGATGTTTCGTCAACAAGTGTGGTGGTCGCTGCACTGCTGTTAATTCAAAAACAAAAGATAGCGATGAACGGAAAACAAAGTTAACAGAATTACTCGGATGTATCGATAACATCTTCAGAAAAAAACAAACATCTTATTATACACATGAATTATTTGAAAGAGCAGCCCAAGATGAAGCAGAACAACGACAAAAGGAAGAAGAGAGAGTGCGACGTGAATGGGGTGAGGAAGAAATTCGCACCGAAGTAAGCTTTGATATTAAATCTTCTAATGTTAGATTTTTCAATGGTTTGCAGGAGAATAACAATTTACAGCAACGTGAAGAAGAAGTTAAGAGGAGACGAGATCAACAAGAAGCGCGCCTGGAAGTTCAGCGAAGAAATCGAGCTATCGAACGAAGTAGCCGCACTTCAGAAAATAGTATTGGCAATGTGTTCGGGTCACTATTCGTATTTACTTTAAAGACTGTTGTATTCGTGCTAGCGATAAAAAACACACATGGTAACCTTAATTCAATTGCTTACCCACGTTTTCAACAGCGCTTTGTCCAGCATCCGACATTTTATCCTTCTCTACCATCATTCACAAGAGATGTGTTGGACAATAATTATTTGTTACGAGAATGGACCTTTAAATGATGATCGCACAGCAAATTTCTGTTTACACTACACATCAGATTTAGTACGACGGGAGAAAAACCGCTGATGTTGTAAACATATTTTTCATTTATTTCATTAAAAAAAAAATAATGAGGCTGAGTCAAGCTAGCCATGATCCGGATTTCGATCTTGCTCAAGGATCTCATCAGATGGGTGTGGTTGGATGTGAGTGTGGATATGGGTAGGTGTGGGTGCGGGATGTGGTGTGTAAACGTGGATGTGGGTGTTCTCTGTATCTACACCCACACCCACCCATACCCACACCCATACCCACGCCCACACCCACGCCCACCCACACCCACACCCACACCCCACCTACACCTACACCCACACCCACACCCACCCACACCCTCACACCCACACCCTCACACCCACACCCACACCCACCCACACCCACCCACACCCACACCCTCGTATCAGATAATTTAACTAATGAAACTGTCTTTGGTATTGTGTCACCGGTCACTCACTCAATCTTCGTTTGGTCTAGTCAAATTTCAAACTGTTCTGAAATATATGCATATGTGCTTTTCTGCAAATGTTTTAAAATGCGTTTTATATAAATATATTCACTCGAATCTCACAATAAATGATTATGAATTTGAAGTTTACAGAGAACAATATAAGAAACTAATAGTTTTCTATGTTCGAGAACTGCGAAATATTATCTTATCATATAGTGCAGTATCGCAGACTACACACTGGTGGCCGAATGAGAGAAAAAACATAATAGCCATTGCAGTTCGTAATTGAAATCGAGTTGTTCCACCTACATGTGTTTCCTGCCCAATTATAACAAACAATTCCACTTGTCGTACTGCCCGCTGACGACGGATATACACCACTGTACCAACCAGGCGCGTCAGTGCCGCAATAACGAATGGTAACAGGACAACTGGGTATAAGAGTACCAGCTGAGCCGGAAAACTGAACCCACACTGGTGACGCACTGAATACAGTATTATCGCAAGTACGGGTGTCATTATAGGCAGCATTGCGAGTGGCATCTGTATTCAGTGTATAGTTCGAACACTCAGATGGAAGGGGTGTCGAGGTGATCGTAGTGGTGATGGGTGTTATTGAACAAACAGTGGCACCCGAAGTTGCTATCAGAAGAGAACATAATTGAGGTAGAAAATTGTTGCTTTACACACATGTACTTACTTGATGCGCTTGTAGTCGTCGTCTCTGATGCTATATAAAGTAAATTAAACAGCAAGCGAAGGCTATAGTGTTATTGCAGCAAGATTTTTGAAACTCGCTAATGTCAGAAAGAGTGGCTGGGACGTTATTTAGAAGATCTTCAAGTGAGCTCATGTTGTTTTTGGACTTGTACAAAATGAATGGGCTCATTTCAGAGACCGAAGAGGGTCAAAATCATAATATAACTTGATTTTCATTTACTTAAAAATAAGGAATTCTATTGTCCTCAAATATTCCCATTTGCACTTCTCTTGCGTGATCCTCTTTCATACTTATTATTTATACATCTTTTCTTAAGAATACTTCTCCTTTTTCAGCACTTTTGGAGAACGGCTCATCAGAAAAATATGAAACTTTTCGGGCAGATAGACCTTGGGTAGCAGATCAAAAGTTGTGCTAGGCTTGACTTTATACAATCCTTCCTTCTGAGATAAATATGGGTTCCAATGGGTCAAAATGGTCCCACTTTTTGCCTTTGATTCTCCGACATACTACGTCCGATCGATCTAAAACGTTTTTTTTACAGGTACTAGACACTGTCTAGGGTTCCTACTTTTTTGGTTTTTTAAAATCTTCTTTTCTTCAAAAATAAAAGCAAAAATACGAGGAGCATCCTAAAAACGCTTGCTCTTTCACTAGGGCAAATTTTGTAAAATCTACTAAAATCAGCAGAGTAATCTTTTTTGGAAACAAAAAAAATGCGTATCCTAGACAGTATCTAGTACTTATAAAAAAGTTTCAGCTCGATCGGTCTTATTATGCCGGAAATACGAAGACAATTCAGTACATTTTTTTGTGCCAAAACTGATTGTGAGAAAAACGCAACACAATGTAAAACGTGGTTTTGTTTATATACTGGATTTTTATTTTCCTAACGAAATTTATCGAATATTAAGCTTGCTCAGCAATGCAAGAGGTTCATCATGGACTCACACATCACGTTTAAAACACGCAATAACCTTTATAATGAAGAGAACTTGGTATATAAAGATATAAGCATATAGCGATTTTTTCGCATAGAGGGTCTCTAAAGTCGTTTTTTTAGATTCTAAGTAACAATGAAAACTTCTCGTTTATATAGCATTCGATAGAGGACACTTGGGAACTGTATTTGTGATGAAAAAATCAAAATAAAAAAACTTGATTTGTCCGAGTCGGGAAAGGGGGGAGGAGTTGCCCTTAGGGGAGATGCCCCAACATACCCTCGAATTTTATCAGTTTGTAGAGAAGATCTCCAAGGATCTAGGTTGCAATAACTCACGGATTGGATGAACTTTAGTGGAGTTGTGAAACTTTCAAAATTTGCAAAAGTCGGCTTTTCCAGCCATTTTGAGGATAGACCTAAAAGTAATTCTTACCAAGTCTCCTACTCTCACAATGCTTTTCGAAAAAATTTTATTCATAAAAAGTTGTTCAATGAGTTCGCCTTTATTGGTTAACATATTTTTCTTTTAGATCGATCTCATCATTTAGGAGTCATAGGCACAAAAAGTGATCGAATCAACATACTTCAAATTATTCGAAAAGCACCCTTTTTAAATAAAAGTTTAATTGTAAACTTCAGCATGACTAGTTTTCAATAAAGCATTGTACATATATGTGGGTACATATCAACTATACACTGGCCAAGTTTCAAGGTCTTGGTACCTTCTGCCCGAGAAATATGAAAAACAAAAATACATATGATTTTTTGCATGAAATTAGAACATAGAAAAATCACTGAAAATGACTAGATCATCCGTAACAGTATAACAAAGTGCGGCTGCTGGTTTTTCCGTCTGTTCCTGGTCAAAGATCAAAGGTAAATGTGATGTCTCATTCACAAACTATACGTTTCTCGAAACAGCAATTCAGCGAATGAAGTAATGGCGTAGCCAGTGTACTACTCTAGGGAGAGGAAGAGAACGGTAGGGCATGAACTCAAGTGGTTTATAGGGATGATGACTCAGTTCTGAGTCCACCGCGGCTGCGCCGCTGGAATGAATTCTCTGCTCCTCGAACAGCAGAGTACGTGCACAGAGTTAAGAAACAAAACATATCGAATCGAGAGATTGGACCTGTCCAGATTAATCTTAGTACAGAAAGTTAGTTTTTAAAAAAACAGTAATGGAAAAATTTTAGCAAGGGCAAAGCATTCATTTTTTTCTAAAAGACTAAATAAAATATGTCTTCAAAAGACAGCATAGCAACACCATAAAACATGATATTTGCTAGTCTTTTCGTTACACATACTACATAAATAAATTGATGACTGCAACTTTTAGTTTATTTAGTATCCTTTATTGTTATATTTCCGTATCACCATTGTAATATATGTTACTCTTTGGTCTTCATTTCATATACGAATATATTAGTCCATAAATTATTCCAGTAAAAATTTACTCTCATATTCATTTATTCATTGTTTCCGTCGCTTACAATACACATTAGATCTTCGATCTCAGCTAATGTATAAAGAAAAGCATTTGTCATTGTTATTTTCTAGATTAATTAATTACATCTTAATTTCCCGATAATTAAAAACAATTAGTAATAGAATTTTAAAAAAAGTATTTTACTCCTTTTTTAAGAATGCGTAGTAAGTCGATGCCCGATTGTTTATCATTTTTGGTATAATAGAAAAATATAGGAATCTTGTCATTATGGTGCGGACAAACCGCGCACAGAGCAGCCGTCCCCGCCCTCCACTTTCCCACTGCGGAAGTGGCGCACGTCCCTGTGGCCAATCCTATATAAGGCTGACCGGACTTCTGGAGAACCTTCTCTTAAGTTTTTGTTTACAAAATGGACAATATCATAACACACCGACATTAAAGTAGTTATTTACTCGCATAGTAATTTCATCTCATACTATTTCCAGACCAAGGGAAATCCATGATTTTCTACCAGGTCCCTTTGCCTGAATTAGTAGATTAATATCATGATTTTTTCCCAAGAGAAGAATGTCGTGCAAACAAAATGGTAATGGTTCTGCTTACTACTTGAAGTTGAAGTAGTTGTACCTATATCATATACGAGCAATAAAATAGTATCTTTGACTATTAAAGAAAATATTAATTACTTGCTGTGCTTGATGTTGTACTAATCGATGTGGTGCTACTTGTTGATGCTATAAAATTTTTACATATGACAGTCAATAAAAAAAAATTGAAATAAAGAGAAAAAGTTTATTTATAAAGCGCCACGAATACAAATAGCTTTTTGAGAATTTTTTTTTGTTTGTTTGTATGACTTACTTGTAGTTGTTGTTGTTTTAGTTGTTGTTGTTGTTGTTGT